GGGCGGTGGTGACTTTTAGATAGTGTGAGGCCCTAGACAAGGGCGGATATGCTAGGCCCTTTTGTTGTAAGTTTATTTAATGTAAAGCTCGTATTCACATGATATTTGATAATTGTACAAGTACTAGAATCCTAGCTAGCACTGGATTTCCAAATATACACTTACAGTCGACCCCCTATAACACTACTGATTATTCCGTTTTATACGAATTCCATGTTGTACGAGTCACTTAGATTTTACAAATACGCGAGCCGTTCACAGCCCGGCACACGTATTTGTAAAATCTAAGTGACTCGTACAACATGGAATTCATATAGAACGGAATTATCAACAGTGTTATGGGGGGGTCGACTGTATTCATGCATGAGGCCCCTAAAAACAGATTCTTTTTGGCAAAGTCCAAAGTAGTTCATGTTTAAAACTGACTTCTATTATATCTAATGGTGAGTGTAGGTGGCAACTAGCTAAGAAAACAAGTCAATGGCAGTCAGTTTTACATAAAACGTACGTCATTGACATTCTTACTTGGCTGCTTGCCACCTACGCGCCCTCACAAGTTCAAGGTGTTATGAAAAATGTAATGCTTCTATTCCCCTCAATAAACTCTAGAAACTGTACACTGTACGCTATATATTTCAATTAAAACGAGGAAATTTCTAAAGTTTCGACTCAGACTCGAACCCGAATCCTATAGTACCTTTACAGCTATGGAGGACACATCATTGATTCTCATTTAAAAATATGTAAGAAAAATGGTTTAATACACGAAAATCTGAGCTATAAATTACATTAAACATGCGGAAATTTTTAATTGTTATGCAGTAATTCATCCATAAATGAAGGACGTTTCATGCAGATTATTTCAAGCGGGATACTGCAGATTTGTAAAGTTTTAGATGTGTGTCATGAGATTTCATTCATCCGGAGATAATGCGATTATTCTTTTCACGCAAACAGATTATATATAATTCAGTAGAGCGGAAAGAAATAAGTAAACATATTTAAATGCATCAAAAAACCTTAGAAAATTTAAAATTTCGGAATTGGTATATTGCATTGGATTAATGGATAAGGCGACTCAACACACTAGAGATCTATCAAGTGGAGTGTCTTCCTGGAGAACTTTCTATAGGAAATTGGCCCCCTATTTACATGTTAGACAAGTGAGAAAAATCCGGAAAACCATACGTTGGTCAGGCGCAAACCAACGACATAAATAATGTTCGTGGTTTTCTCCACTCGGCATCTAATGGGCCACGATGGGTGGTGCATATTTTGTATTAAATCTTGACTTAATTCTTACTATTTTTCATACTCTTTCCGTTATGGGCATTAATTAAGAGGGCTTCTTTTGCGTGCCCTTATAAGCTCGGCTATACTCAAAATGGCGACTTCGGATGATGATGGATTTAGTCCGATATATTGGTTCCACCCTTTTGCCTCTGTAGGCACAGGCTATAAATTTCTAGAATACCACATTTTCTGAAGTAAACTAAACGTAAATGCTTCTGATACTAACTTAGACTTTAATTTTAAAACGTTATATGAATATACTGCTCTAGGCTCGGGCCTACTGTGCCCATTTAGAAATCCGACCTTGCAACATCAAATACAGTAAGGTATAATGGAAAAATACCTTATTTTCGGGCAATGACATTCCATAACTGGTTTTCGTAGTAATGCTTCAGCGTTACTACCAAGTAATAGGACCTAATAGAGCATAATGCTTAATTGCTGATCGTTCAGACTTAAAATTTGATTAATGAGGCCTTTCGTGTAATCATTGTACTTATACCTGACTACATTTTTTAGATTCGGGGCCATCCATTAATTAATTAATTACGTGTACAGTTTATGGGAGTGGGAGTCGAGTTATTAGCTACGTAACTGTTTTAGTGGCATACGAATTTGTTTTTATATGCCTACTTACTAGTTCACGTGAGGCTTCTAAGAATATTTATAGAACTTTTTAATCGTTTCTTCAATGTGAGGGGGGTCGGTGACTTGCTGTACACGTAATTAAAGGGGAAGAGATTTATCCAAAAGGGGTCAAAAAATGACTCAAAAACTGTACACGTAATTAATGGACGGTTTCATAACTGTATAACAGGGGAAAATTATGGGAATCGGTCAAAAAACTGATCCTTCAATAAGTCATTGTGTCCCTTATGTGTTGTGTGTGTGTGGGGGGGAAGGATTTTGTACATCCACTTTGAAGCGTAATAACTCCTGTGAAATTTATCGAAAATATCAGAAATTTTGCAAGGAGGTTTGTGTATTAGGGGGATTAATGATATTAAATTTTGGTGGTTAAAGGTCGAGGGGGTGGGTAGATAGAGGAGGTCACGTGTCGTATCTCGAGTGGGTCGAACTTAAGATTATATTCGTTATTAGAATTTACAATTTGTTTTTATAAACCTCATATATACCCTTAAATTAATCTTTTTACCATTTTATAAAAATTAATGATAATAAAAGTTTTAAAATAAAATCTCGTAACAGATTGCGCCACACGCAATTTTTAAATGTTTTGCCGGGAAAGTTACGCAACTCGTCGCTGGATTTTTTTTTTAAAATATAACTTCGGCCATATTTAGATATTCTAATACTAAAATTTAAAGCTCAATCAGAAATCTTCCCTCCTGACAGTAACGTGCATACGACAAGTAAATTTACAGCACGGATAAAGATTTAAATACAACGAAATTACATTCGTTCCTTTAACCTTTGAATTTTGAGTTAATTTTAGGTCGATTATCTCATATTTTAAGGGAATTATTTTAAACACAAGACAGCAAAAACCAGTTTCATTTTATATTGAAGTATGCATGTTCGGTCGATGAGTCAACAATATAATACCTTTACTTACAGTCAACGTGTGTGGAAACAGGTAAAACTCGACGTTAAATGCATTTAAGGAAACAAATTTTAGTCATTACTTCATAAATTGTATACTTTTACTATTTTCCTGGTATTTTCCACTTTAATACAAGACAAATTAATAAATAAATAATAAATAAAAATAAGTAGGCCTGCAAAATACAATAAATTATTTTGCAGGGAATAAAAGATTCTATCCCCAAGGGCATAATTTTTTTTTCCAATATTTAATTTTATATTTTCTATATTTTATTTCACATGGAAATTGTTTGCGTACATCAAAACAATACATTAAGTTAATTAGCTTAGAGGCAAACTCGAGTTAATTTTTAATAATAATAGACAACAATTTTTTGAACTCTTCTGGTCTGGTGGAGACCAAGAAAAACGGCTTGCTTACAGAGCCCATATAACGTTAATGGGCGTTTATAACAGTCCTAGCAATGGGCTTAATTGATAGGTTTGGTTTATATGGTTACTGCAAAGTTGATACAGTAATTAGATACGTATAAGAGGAAGAATTCTTCATCTGAATAATGCTATGCTAATGATTCATCTCCAGAATTGTATATAGCGGTTGCAATAAACTGCTTTTTTTAATATTTTGAATTATTCTAAATTTTCCGTAAACTTTCTTCGTGAGTTCTCATTAATTTAAGACTATTTGGTTGCTCGTAATCATTACAAAAGTGGAAACTCCAGTAGTAAGAAGAGATTTTGTAAATACATAACAATACTTATGTCTATAAATAGTCTACTATAACTTCTATACATCATTCTCCACATTTCATGAGTACATGCAAGTACTAAATTTATTGCATTGAAATAAGAGAATTTGGGCTCGAAGCCGGTCCAGACGCACTAGTATATCATAGTAAGTATGGATCATCATCGTTCTCCATCCTATATTTATGCTGTTTGATTCCTTTACGGAGGACATCAGCAGTAGACAACACGCTGATGTTAACTCCCGTATAATTGCAATAGTGTTTATGTCATAAGTTTTGTAGGCAAACGTGGATTTACGACACCCCTTTTATATAATGTGAAACCCGTATCGCCATGATACATGATATTGTATAAGGTCTAGGATCTTAAGTATAGTGGGCTCAGTGCATTAACGATTGGATTGATGGAATAATGGCAAAGAGAATGCCTCCATGGAAATTTTTTAATGAAAAGTTGGCTCTATATAGGTGTTACAAACGTAAAGAAAATCCGGAAAACTCCACGTGGCGAGAAGCAAACCCAAGACCAACTACAATCAGTGGTTCTATCTAATCGGCCACTGGTGGGCCCCCCAGTGCTCAGTGGTTCTATCCAATCGGCCACTGGTGGGCCCCCAGTGCTCAGTGGTTCTGTCCAATCGGCCACTGGTGGGCCCCCAGTGCTCAGTGGTTCTATCCAATCGGCCACTGGTGGGCCCCCAGTGCTCAGTGGTTCTGTCCAATCGGCCACTGGTGGGCCCCAGTGCTCAGTGGTTCTATCCAATCGGCCACTGGTGGGCCCCCAGTGCTCAGTGGTTCTGTCCAATCGGCCACTGGTGGGCCCCAGTGCTCAGTGGTTCTATCCAATCGACCACAAGGGGACCCCAGTGCTCAGTGGTTCTATCCAATCGGCCACTGGTGGGCCAAGTTATGCTTATAATAATCATTTAATCTACAAAAAAGTAAACATCTGTAACGCTTTAGACACGAATTTCAAATAGACTTCAACGTGTTCCATCGCTTAAGAAATAATTTAAAAAGTTTCTTAAGACATTTACGTGTTACACTGAACACGAATTAATTAATTTTAAGTTATTAGAATCACTTTAAGCATGTATTAAGATGAAAAATCATTCAGAAATGATTCTTTCCTGAAAACTGAGATAAAAGTAGAAGGGAAGATGGCGTATGTCCTCAACGTTTCCATTATTTAAACGAGTAGGAGAAAGGTGTAATTTATTATTAAAATCAACAGGAAAAATAACACTTATAAACAAAGAACATATTCGAAAATTTATTATCTAACCTCACAATAAACATCAATAAATTAATTAATTTACGTAAGAGTCGGAAATTAATTATTCGGTCGCAATTAGAAAATACAAAAATGATAAGTAAAGAGATAAGACTTACCATTATGACAGCAATTAATCAATATATAACTTCAAAGGATGTTTATTATCTTTCCTTAATTACGAAAATTCCCAGATATAAAACTTTATGCTGAAAATTGGCTGGAAGCATACGTAAAATTAGCACTTTGCAACCCTTTTCTCAATTGTCAATAGATGGTATCAGTGCATTAATATCTTCATCCTGCCACACAAAAATTTTAATTATAATTAAATTTTAAACACTTTAAATCATTCTTAAATGTTTTACCAAAAGAATTTAGCATGTATTTTTATAAAATATTTACACGTATCGATACATTCAAGTTGAAACGTAACGGCAAAGTTGCCGTTTGACATTTGGGAATAATGCAAAAATATCAGTAAATTTGATTAAAATTGTCGTTAATATTTCTGTTTTAAATGCTATTTTGTAATGAGTTAAAATGACATAATAATTATCTCCTGCAAATATATTTATAACGCTTAAAACGTGTAGAAGTGTAAAAAGTCTCATTCACAACATCATGTTACACGATGGTAATTTGTATAACACGACAAGTAACTTGCCGTAAACATAAAATAAAATGCTTAATTAAGTTTTACAGTGTAAAATAACGTTTGCATAATTTGTTTTGAAGCAATTTAAACATTTGCATAAAGTACTGAAGATAAGAGATTTCACAGAAATGATCACAAGAAATTTCAGTTAGATGTTACTGAAAAATTACTGTAAAATTAAATGCTAGTGTTTGATAACGTAATATACACTCTAATCTAACTATTCTCTAGCTATATTAATTAATAATCTATAAATTATTACCCACACAATATTGATAATACCAATAAAGCTTCGAGGATTCAAAAAGGTGCCAATAAAAGCATTGATGCTACCAAAAAAACAATATTAAATTATTGCTGTAACTATTGTCTTTTTGATAAGTTAAGAACTTATCGCACACTAACACATTTTAGCACAAGGAAATTCGTAATAGATGATATTAGCACAATTAATTGGTGTCTTAAGACATAAATTACGTGTTATTCATTCCAAGACAGTAGCAAAAGTTAATGAATTACGTAAGAGATTATCATATTTCTTTTGAAACAATTAATGGAGATAACAGTAAATGAAATACAAGAATGCTTCTGATAAAAATACCATAAAAAGAGAGAAATTTTTTGAAAATTCTTGCCCGAAAATGGAAGGGGAGGAATATGAAAACGAAATAAAGAATAGGAGGAAAAAAAAGAGAGAAATTAATTTAGTCATAATTTCCTTTTATTTTTAAACGAAAGATTTTTCTTAGAACATTGATAAGGGAGGAAGTAAAATGAGCAAGTCAAGTTAATAATTGACTAATTAATTATATTTAATGTTCAGCTCATTAACATGCAGGAAGTTGAAAGTAAAGCTGTTTAATGTGATAAAATTCGACTTTTTGAAATGTCATAAGAAAAAAAAATCATAATGCCATCCTGTCAAGACGACGTCTTTTGCATTAAAGTCATTGAATTTATACTTAAAAAATCATGCAATTTTTTCCATTGCAAGAAGTAAATTTTATAGTACAGGAGTGGATTTAGGGGGTGAACAAGGTCCAGCTGCACCCACCTTCTAAAGGTTTCTTCAGAATAAAACCGGATAACACAGTTCGTAACGTGACATTCCCAGCACATTGGTGTTACTACTCGCAACTGGAGATTAGGCACCCCCACGTTAGCACTTAAATCTTACTTTGCAACATGATAAATATTAATAGCATAGAATATTCTGTAGAAAGTTCCAATAGCATTTTGGGGTCCTCCTCTCTCGGTATGTGTATACATAATATTGAAAAGGTCCATAAAAATTCTAATAAAATCACTCTATTGAATTTATAATTGTCGTTTACATAAAGCTTTAACACTTAATTTTAAAGTAATTTTTAAAATTCCACTTCTCTTCAGGCCCGTCGAGAGTGGAAGAACTGGAGGTTTCTCCTCGGGTTCCTGCCTCTATAAAATTTATTTTCTGTTAGTAAATATAACATTAAATACGTAATAATACTAAAGAATGATTCTACCAATTTTATCTATTCAAAATCATGACAAAAGAGGGCACAGTAAGGTGCAGAAAGAGCCCGTTATACCCCATATAAGCTTTCGATGGCCCAGCGCTTCTGTTAGTCGAACTTCGCGACAATTTTTTTTAAAATTTCGTACGGGCAGACAACAATACAAACGATTTATAGTTTAGCTTGTACTAAATTAAACTTAAATCGTAAATTAAAAAGTACTTAAGAAGAATTTTATATATAAGAAATTAACACAGAAACTCTTCGGCTTCTTGTATTACTCTTCAATAAAATTCCTCGTGTTATATTACTTTGATAAAATTTAAAAAAAAAAGAAACTATCCAATAAAATAAAAAATAAAATAAAACTAAAGAATTGCATTAAAGAAAATTGTATTTTTTGTTACTGTAATAGTCCATTCGTTGTATTCTACAAGAGCCTATTGGAATATGAAAACCGAATACTTATCGATGTTCTATGTTCCTTTATTGACCATTAAAAACGTTTAAAATACGTTTAGTGGATCAAAAATTTCTCTAAAAAGGAGAATATCTGAAAGTAGAATCGACTATTTTATGTATTGCTTTCCATTTTCGACTTCTCGAATGGCACTTGATGAAGCAGAATCTATTTCACGTCCCTTGATACCTATTGCAGCATCGAGTACCGCACACGCACACACACAATATACTTTCTTTAGTTGCTTCTAGAAGTAATCAGAATTTCAAAAGAAATTCTCATTTTAAATTAGTTTCTCTTCTCTTTTCTTTATTCATTATAATTGCCGAGTGACTCTTGCAATGCTCCATTGTTAATGGCTCTCTATTGTTTTTTTCCCCCTTTTCTCATCCCTCCTCCTCCTCCTCCTTCCGGTTGCTTCTCGTATATAAATAAACGGCTACAAATTTTTGATTACTTGTAAAGTCTGCTTAGCGAAGATGCCGTTCCGAATCATTAAAGATGGCAACACTTGGCATGGGTATTATTAATCACTGTTAAACCGCTTGATACCATAAGTTATTTATTAAACCATGGAAAATAAATTAATATTGCCCGTTTATAACCCGTGTTTATTTAGATTAAGTTGTAAGGAAATTGCTTTGTTTTTTTTTAATACAGACAATTTCAATTGGAATGGTTAAAATTTCTGTAATAAAAACTTGAAGCTGTGGAGGAATTCTTGGAATTATACGATTTTTGCAATCCTACATTCGTGAAATACTGCACGCCTCGAGAGCCTGCAATTGTACACGACTGTACGAATTGTAAACTGAATAATAAATTATCCTTTACCATATAATAATTGCTGGCATCCATGCCCTACAGATAAATACAAGTTGCTTGAAACTTTATACAGGGATGGATTTATAAAGTGGCACTAAACTTAAATAAATAAGAGGCCCCGCCACTTCCAATAAAAGGTAATATACAGGATTTTTAAAATAAATAAGGCCCTAAATGTACGCTCGTAACGCGAGGACCTAAGCTAATCTTAGGTGTGAAGTCAAGACACCACATAACGACTTGTAGAATTAAATTTATTACTCGTGTAATTATATTCCCTTTACAATTAAAACTTCTAACATTTATAAATTATTATTCATTGCGATTTAAAAGGAAATTAACTGTACTTTGAAACGATATATCAATTTCTGTCGCTTCACGCTTCGATTATTTTGTATAAAAATACGCAGAGTAAAGAGTTTTGAGTGCATAAATTCCATTCAATTATTAAAGTACAGGTGTAAATCCTTACAAATTTTCAATCGACATTAGGAGGCCCGAATTAGAACGTGTAAAATCTACATCCCCTCCCTGGCTTAGATATTGTTTATCCAAATAGACGATAATTTATAACACGTTTCATTTCTGGGTAATCTTCCTTTTGGGCATAAGAGGCCCTTCTTCTTCTATACCCACTGCGGATTCGGTCAGGCTCACAAAAGGGATGGCCTGGTAGTGAGAGACGGAAGCTGACCTATACGAGATAAGACCTACCAGGAAAATTTTGGGATTTTTTTCATCTGCTCGGATTCGATTCCGGATCCTCCACTACGGTTCGTTTGGTTTTATTCGTATACAGCAACGCAACACATGAGCAATCTATGGAGGTCCTTTATGGGAAACGTGAAGAAAACCCGGAAAACTTCACGTTCTGGCCTGTTGACCAGGTAAGAACACACGACCAAACTTCCAGCGTTCAGTTGTTCTATCCACTCGGCCACTGGTGGTCACCCCACAGAGCGGAGGGATGACCGGGCGTAGTGTTTAAATATTNGTTTGGTTTTATTCGTATACAGCAACGCAACACATGAGCAATCTATGGAGGTCCTTTATGGGAAACGTGAAGAAAACCCGGAAAACTTCACGTTCTGGCCTGTTGACCAGGTAAGAACACACGACCAAACTTCCAGCGTTCAGTTGTTCTATCCACTCGGCCACTGGTGGTCACCCCACAGAGCGGAGGGATGACCGGGCGTAGTGTTTAAATATTTAAATTGCCCTCAAAAATCCTTAAATTAAACATTTCCCTTTAAATGTTTAAAATGTTTTATTCCATGTTTAAACATAACTTTAGTGGAATCATTCTATCTAAAACCACTGAACTTTGATAGCTGGTAGGGGATTCTCATCTCGCGGTGGAGATTTTCGGGTTTCTTCACGAGTATAACACTTGTAAAGGGCCAATTTCTTATAGAATGCACATCCCTACATGACAATCTGCCGAGGAGGGATGTCTTTCCACGTGCCCGAATGAATAAGACAATGCAACATACGAAAAGGCACGTGTTGCGCTGCCTTAATCAATCCTAAATCAATTCCTTTTCTATAAAATCTATCCCCTTTTTTGTGAATAAGAGTATAAAATATTCAAAATTTTAATTCGGTGCGGTAGATACAGAAAATACTTCTGTGTAACGTTCTACTACGTTATATGCGGGTTTAATCTACTCGTACACGAAGGGAAACCACTGTATAAAATATAAAGCATTCTAATATTTGCCATACAATAGAAAAATTTCCGGATATTGTAACTGGAAATATAATCTGGGACTCATGTTATAGAGCATTGTATGATGAATATAACTCATCCTGGTATATATATATTTACGTACTGTACATCCGCGTGCAAAATCTAAAATGTCTGCATGTAAAATCGAAATTAATTTATCAATATTTGTTTAAAATTATTATAAGAATTATCAACAAATAAGTTAACGGAATTCGCGTGTTTTCGTCATCAAATATTTCCAAAGACGAAACTATAAACACCACCAAAACTATTTTAAAAAAAAGAAATTCAGTAGGGTGGTCCAAAAGTTAGTTAACCGCGTAAATAAGCTACCAGGAGGACTTTATGTGAGAAAACAGACCATACTTAGTCGTTGGGCACGTGAATAAAACTCCAAGTAGCGAGCCATCTGGTGAGGTGAGAACCCACGACCAACGTTTAGTGTCATTTAGTTGGCCACTGGTGGGCTCCTGGACAGAAAGAAATGCAGAAAAGTTACGAGAAATGTGGTAGAAGAACAGCCGAAGTTCCCCATAAGTATTAATAAACAGAAATTTACACTCACCTTTATCAAATTAATAAGTATTAGTGTATAATCTCCCGAAAAACAATACACATCCCTCTATTCGAATAGTACAGTACCTATATATATATATATAATTAACAAAAGGAAAACACTATAATTTCTAAACAAAGCTATTACAAAATCCTATTTTGTATGAACAGCTGCACAAACAGAACACAAACAAAACAGATGCAAATAGTATTTTACGCAATTTCCATACAAAATCGAGCACAATGCATGTTTTTTTTTTTTTTTTTTTCATTTGTTTCTATGTCCCCTTCTACAATCAAAAACTGGTTCAAATCACCTTTCAACGCGTTATGGTCTGATAAATAATGCAGGTATCCCGTCAAAGTATCGAAAAGTCATCTCGTCGACGCATTAACACTTAAAATCATGCAATTGTATAGTTTATAACACTAGAAAGCACGAGCGCAGTAGTGTTTCTTAGTAACACGTCAATAACACCTAGTAGAGTTCACGTGCTTGCTAAAAATACTCACTGATACACTAAAATTTGTAAAGGAGGGATGAATTACTGTTTTATCCCTATTGGTGTATTGTTTTTACGTATTAAAATTAAATATTTCTATTTTATTTTATGATCTTCCAACATTCTGAAGCAAGTTTCGGGGGGCCTTTTTTGGGAATTCTGTTGCAGCAACAGGTTATTAACTTGACTCGGTGTATAAAATAAATATTCGAAAATGTCACCGGTCGTGTCCAAGCATAGAAAGTAGAATTTTTTAAAAGTAAAAGTAATTCCAAGAATTGTATTTCCTTCCTTGTGAATGTTTTATAACTTCCTGTGTTTTTTAAAGACATGAATTATTATTGTTTTAATTTTAAATCTACTTTATTATAGTTTATATTGTTTATTGTTGATAAATATTAAGCAGTTATTAATAAAATAAATCCTTTAGAAGTCCTTCGCACGCGTTAAAAATACTCAATGACGTGTCGTACAGTCGAGACGAATTTTATTATATATTTCGTAAAGTATTTAACCTACTTAAATGTTTTCAAGTAAACTTAAGTTAATTGGTCTTCCGAATACAATAATCCCCAATTTGTGGTCCTGTCTTTAATAACGCGTACAAAATTCGACACAAATCGAACGAAATCGCGTATTTCGGTATCTTTATCGTCGCTAAATTCCCCTAAATATTAGTAAATGCTTATATTTTAATTTTTTGTTATTTCTAACAATTTAAATACAAAATAATTCAAATAAGTACACGTAAAGTGTACAAGTATATGATGCGAAATGACTATTTTTAATTCCCTGGAAGAGTACTAAATTTAGATTTGTCTTCCTGAATGTTAGACGTAAATACAAGACGAAGATTTTACAATGAACTGTTGGATAATTATATAAACATGCGGAAGTTATGGGTGAAGTCATGCAAAAAAAAAATCAAAACCTTATCGCTTCACCATTCGGTATAACGAGGTAAAAGGTTGATTGCAATCGTAAGGTACCGTACAGTTGTTTACAATTCTTCTACGAATATTACAGAATAAAATCTTAACAAGGTAAAACCTGCAACATAACTTCAATTGAACTATAACCCAACGTTATACAGGGGTAAACATGAACATATGCTCAATAAAACTATATATTAATGTTATATAGGGGTTAACCTGAACATAAGCTCGACACACAGAAGGTAAACCTATAACACAGCTTCAATATAACTATAAAATAGTGTTATAAAGGGTAAAGCAGATCAAAAGCTCGTCACAAAGGGGATAAAACCTGCAAAATAAGCTTAATAAAACAATAAATTAATGTTATATAGGGGTTAACCTGAACATAAGCTCGACACACAGAAGGTAAACCTATAACACAGCTTCAATATAACTATAAAATAGTGTTATAAAGGGTAAAACAGATCAAAAGCTCGTCACAAAGGGGATAAAACCTGCAAAATAAGCTTAATAAAACAATAAATTAATGTTATATAGGGGTTAACCTGAACATAAGCTCGACACATAGAAGGTAAACCTATAACACAGCTTCAATATAACTATAAAATAGTGTTATAAAGGGGTAAAACAGAACAAAAGCTGGACACAAAGGGGATAAAACCTGCAAAATAAGCCCAATAAAACTATATATTAATGTTATATAGGGGTAAACCTTCAACAAAATATCCACATAATTGTAAATATACACATAAAATAAGAACAGGAATATAAGTAAACAAATTCCAAAACTATATAGAAACATCTGTTGTAGTAGACAATTTTTAAAAAACTTTAAAAGAAAAAAACTGGCAAAACTTTCGATATTTGAAGGTTGTACAATATTGATGGACTGATATAATATGCAAATTAGATAGAGGCGCACTGAATGTTACACAATTTTATGGCAAACAAGTGGAATTTTTTGCTCCTTTATGCTTATAAAAATTGTCTTTCAAGCATGAAATTACTAAAATATCATTAAGTAAAAGGAGGTGATCCTGTGTATTAAATAACTGTACGAGTAGCCTTCTGTACACATTATACAACGCACAGAAAAAAATTCTTTTATGATTCTATAATACAGTGGAAAGGAAATAAGATCTTTCATACATCAAAATAATGGTTTTACACATCATTATGGTGAATATAGAATTATGGAAATTCAATCTCTACCCTATAGAAGGGGGGCTGCAACAGTTTCATACCTGAAGAACAACAACTTCTACCCTCACCCTCGCTTTAAAGGACACGCATTAAATTACTCAATACGCGTGTGTGTGTCCTTACTTAACAGGTTCAGGAACGTGTCCTATTTACATTAGCAATAACCGATATTGCTCAAGAGTCCTCAGCTTCTGCAGCTTGTATATAGGATATCAAGCAGCGCAAAACCGTTTATAGCGTTATAACGAGGTCACGTATACGTTCAGTATTTAATTACGGAGCCTCTAAAACGCGATCCGATGTGTTTTCTATACACAAAATGAACCGAATGATGCATGGAAGAGGGTGGAGATAGCTCATAAATCTTCGAATGGAGGGTAGGAAAATATCATTTTGGATATTTGCAAAGTGAATTGATCCCTTTATCTCAATTGAGGAAGTTTTCAAAGGGTGTTACTGAGCGATGGTATAAATCCTTTAAATGTTTTACTATCCGAAAGAATCGTGTAGAAATCCCAAATGACTTCGAATGATCCCTAAAAATTGCAACTACTTCTAACTCCTGTTTCTTGCTGATAAAAAAAAGGGGGGAAGTGATTTAAACAAAACAGTTCTAGGAAATATATATATATATATAGAGTAACTGTTCTTTCGAGACAGCTCTCACAGGTATAAATACTGTAGTTGTAGTCAGACAGGATGAGGGAAATATATGCAAAAAAAAGGGGGTGAAAAGGGAGGCAAGAGAGCCGTATTTTACTTAAATTCTTTACGTCGATAAAGTTCTATTTTATATTATTGATTTATGTTAAACATTAAATTTATAAAACTCGCGTGAAAATTCTTCCATTAAGTACGGGGTGGGCCAAAAGTCGATTAACCGTCGTCGAAAGTAAAACGTCTTGAAACTTTGCTTTGTGATTTAGATTCGAACGTAAAGAATAAACAAGATTAACGGACTTTTAACCCACTCTGTGTGTTTAATCTCTACGCAAGGTGTGCAAAAGTCAGTTAACCAAAGCATAAAAATACCTTAAATTACAGTCTTACTTTGTAAGCAAGCGTAACGTTTAATGTTTGGTCCTAAACACAAATTTTTGATAGTAAATTGCAAAAATAAGATGTACAATTCGATTATTTCATAAAAATAGATTATTATTATTATTAAATTTTTTCCCTTCACAATCGCTTAATTGCCCATTAGTACTTTCTTGATTACGTTTAAAAGTAACGATTAATTAACAATTATCAAAGCGCAAATTAGTTTAGGAGCGAATAATTATTATTTTATCCTAAAAATTCTCGTGATTATCGAAAGAAGCACGTCCAGTCTAGAAGTTAACGTTCGAACGAGTCGTTAGTCTGTGTGTATGTACGTGTATTTATAAGAAAACAACTTAAGAAGAGAGGAGTACAGGGCATAGATTCCGATATTAAAACTCCGACCCCAGCGAAGATCGTTCTTATAGTTAAATTAAAGCACGAAAACAATAGGATAAGTGTCGTTAAGCGGTTAAATTAATTAATTAAAAATAAACAACCCCCTTACCGTTTAAAGGAACGTTTAACACTACCCGTACACGTCACAACGGGTGCAAAGCTTACTTTTTACTAACCTTGGAAGCGGTGTAACCGTCCACTTCGTAAATCAACGCACGACAGGATGTTACGCCAAATACCACATCCGATAAGTAAACTATTCGTGTTGCCGCAAACAATAATTACGTCACGAGGGTAGTGTTTTTTTTTTTTTTTTTAAACTGTTGTAGCGCGCGCGTGGTTTGGTACTCGACTCGTGCTCCCCCCACTCGCTCTCTCGCGTTGTTTGGTACTTACTTACTGGTCTCGTGCTCTCCCCACTCGTTCTCTCGCGTTGTTTGGGTTATTTTTTTTTTTTTTTTGAGGATTTTCTAACTCTTTCTCCTCCCTCCCCTCTCACGTGACTCTTCAAGCTCCATTAAGCTCATCCATCACTCACCCCGGTAGTCCTGCAGATAATGACACGTAAAGCCATCATTGGATAATATTGTTACGTCGTTACGATTTTTGGTTTGCTTACGGATCAGCAAACTGAAAATCTTACTTCCAATAATCCTGTCAATGGCATCTGTTCTTGCACGACAGAAAAGATTCACCATTTTTATATAGAAGAGAAAAAGGGGGTAGGAGGGAGAAAAAAATAGGGAAAAATTGCAAACAAAAACTTCATTCTTAACACTTCTTGACAAATAGCAGGGAGGAAAAAGTGAGGGAAGGGGGAGAAGCATTTTATACATAATTTCTGATAAATGTAACCATGGACAATCCATCAAAATTGTCTTTTCTTTTATGATTTTTCAATGGGATTTTTTAAATATTATTTATTTATTTATTATTTTATTTTATTTTTCAATTCTTCTTCCTTCAGCAAAAGGGGGATGTCTGAATTTTAAAAAGAAGAAGAAATCCGGTTTACATTGCTGAAGTGCTTTCAAATCCATTAAAAATGAATTATTTAAGACATGTCCATTCGGGGATTTTACTTCCTTCGACGTTCATCTAAAGTGATATTAGTCCGCTTTAAATAACCTGAAACTAAGTGTTTTCTCCTACCCTAAAACCTCGAGATCTTACGAGTTTGCCCTCTATATGGATACAAACCACCAATACTGATCCTCACCTCACCTCACCTCACCAGGCTATCCGCGTGGAGTATTTCAATTCTCTTCACGTGCCTGACACCTAAACAAGGCCCTATTACTCTACTTTCTCATGAAAAGATCCTCCCCTTTCTCCTTGCAGATCGCCTTAAGTGTTGCCTTGCCTTACTAGACTTTAGGGTTCTTGAATAGGATTAATATTCAGTTTCCACTCTAGTTTTACTTTAATAATGCACCATTATACTAAAATTAAATATTCAGTTGGCTTCAAAGCCTTGCTAACCTTTGAGATTAAGGCTAGTCTACTATCTAGAAGACATGAAAACAGGTAAATAACAGGTATACAATATGTATGAGGAGTGCACGATTGTTTTCATCCAATTTGAAGCTTAATAACTCCTGTGCCTTTTGTCGAAATTTTCTAAAATTTGGCAGGGAGGTTTGTGTATCAGGGGTATTTAGGATATCAAAGTTTGGTGGTTAAAGGTCAACGGGGTGGAGAGATATACGGGGTCACGTGTCATATCTCGAGTGGGGTCGGATTTCACGAAGACTTTACTCGTTATTAGCATTTACAATTTATAATTCAGATAAAACATTAAATAAGCTTTTATAAGTGTGTGTATCGGAATAACAAAGTGCAACAATAATAATTTATAATAATTAAACGTTATGTGTTGATACATCAGCACATTACTTGAAGCCAATTTCATCACTCTATTCTTCTTATTTTAGTAATTAATTCACATTTTATAACATAAAATCACATTAATTTGTGATACTTAGCAATTGTGTGTTACTGCTTTAGCAATTAGATCACACCACATTTGATTTTTTGCACGTTAAATATTACAGAAGCACCCTGCAGGCTAATTAGATGTTGTAGTAAATAGCATACATATCTATTAAATTTTATATTAATTAAAGCACATTATTATTATTATTATTAGATACTATAACAATTGAGGTGTAATATTATTAGTTATTATAACCACAAGCTACATTAATTGTCAGCTAGATAATATGACAGTGAATTGTTTAATTATCACTTAGTCACATAGGCTAATAATAATAAAAGGGTCTAAAATAATTGTTTTAGAGGGAGTTTAGAAATTTTCTGTTAAGAAAAAGTCAAAATAATAAAAATAAAATCATAATTAATTAATTATGATTTTATTTCTATTAATTTGTTGATGAGGGTTGTTGTAATGGAAGCATGCAAACTTGCAAGTACAGTACTAATGATGCTGAAGGAGGGTCTAGTAATGCTAATGAGAGGAAAGGATTAACAATTCCTAAAAATTCTCGTGATTATCGAAAGAAGCACGTCCAGTCTAGAAGTTAACGTTCGAACGAGTCGTTAGTCTGTGTGTATGTACGTGTATTTATAAGAAAACAACTTAAGAAGAGAGGCGTACAGTGCATAGATTCCGATATTAAAACTCCGACCCCAGCGAAGATCGTTCTTGTAGTTAAATTAAAGCACGAAAACAATAGGATAAGTGTCGTTAAGCGGTTAAATTAATTAATTAAAAATAAACAACCCCCTTACCGTTTAAAGGAACGTTTAACACTACCCGTACACGTCACAACGGGTGCAAAGCTTACTTTTTACTAACCTTGGAAGCGGTGTAACCGTCCACTTCNAATCTAATTACAAAAGTACCTAGTAACGGAAGTAATTTTTTTATATTGAAATTACTTGGCTTCCATGACAGGAAGCGGGGGAGGAAGTCGGAGAAATTTATCAATTTTGTGATAATAACAAGCAAAATATATAAGAATTTCTTATATAAACCATATACAGTAAGACCTGTATAAAACGGAACCTGCCTAAACCGGAAAGATTCTTAGGAACTCGGCGATTTTCTGTGTTTAAAAAGAAAAAAACAAACCTGTTCAAAACGGAAACCTGCCAATATTCGAGTCCGGTTTACACAGGTTTTACTGAAAGTATGTTTAGGCAGTTTCCTTTTTAGACAGGTTTAATTTTATTTATATATTTCTATACTTTTTCTTTACAATTTAAAGTATTTCATATCCAGTTTAATACCTTCATAAAGCTGCCAGTAGATATATAAATTGTATTTTTTATTTTTTTTTACTGTATTTTTTTATTATGATAGATGTAACTTGTCTAGTTACCAGCTTTCTAGTGTTTTATAAAATATATATATATATAAAATCACAGAAATTTAAAATAGGGCTATAGCATCATATGTCAGTATATCGATAACCATCAACTATGTTGCTGCTGTCAGTTGCAGTAGGAGTGGAGGTCGCCATTTTGATTTATGGATGACTGAAATTGCAATATTGTACTGTACTTTTCTCGCTCGTGAAGTACGATATTAAATTTCGAAGAAAATAAATAAATAAATAAATAAAATGTGTAAGAATATTTAAACTGCATTTTGTTATTTTTTTAAGTTAGGATTTCATTCATGGTGTGGTGTTGTTGTATGAATGTTCTTTTGGAAATTTTAAATTCTTTTGTGTTATTTGGAACAAATTATCATTCTGTTCCTTTTGCAGTAAACTATTTTGTAGTTTATTTTATTAAATTCTTATGTAATTAACTAAAAATATCTGAGTAAATTCATATTTATCTACAGGATCTTCAAAATAAATCTTTTTCAAACGTATTAGAATGTATGGATGACTGTTCTGTACGCAATTTATAAACCCTTTGGCCGATCTGCATCTAGGTGTAGTTACTATCCAGGATCTTCGGAGAATATAGAATATCTTAACATTACAATCCTCCAATCTCTATACCCTTATTAACTGCTAAACCCTTTGACCGATCAGGCCCAAATTTTTCATAGTTACTCTCTAGGACCCTCTGAAAATATCGGTTACCACGAAATCCGAACAACCCGCTCCTTCCCCTTAAAATTTCAAGTGAAAAATTCAAGATAAATCTATCAAAAATTTTATTTTTTAGAAAATTAAATGGATTTAAATGAAAATTGCCAATTAAAATATAATTAATGAACAATTAAGTTTTCAAGATTATATTATATATACTTTAAGTATAATTTATTCTAGAGAACCACAAGCGCTGTTTATAAAACTGCAGCTTGTACTTAAGTAAATACTGTTTATTAACTAAAATAGCACTCTACATGCTACTACAATAATAAAATATTGTAATAGAAGATACACGTACGCCTCCTTTCCGCGAAATATCTGTAAATAGAAAGGTGCAAGATGCTTATATTCAGCAAATATTCAAGACGTAGTAGATACTTTACTCCGTCCGTCAACTGTTTGCAGAAAGCGCCACTTGGATAAATAATAGCGCTACTGTCAATTGATAAGTAGAATCACCATGACAACCGAAGAGTAAAGCCGTTCTTCTGTCCTCTCTTCCCTTCATCCTTTCGACTTTTTGTGTCTCGTGTATTGTTATACGCTTCTTCCTCCCGTGTGAAGTGCCTTGATTCAGTTTCAATAGTTTACATTCAGTGCAAAACTAGTATACAGATAACACTAGCTAGATAATAGTGTTAACAATTAACTTTGAAGGAATATAATGGCCATAATGTCTTAATTTTTAAGTATTTTAGAGTGTGTCGATCGAATTTAAAATACAAAATTATCGTATTCAAATAATACACCACTTGAGAGTAGTACTGGATAGAAACGCGCTTAAATCCTTAATAATTCTATCCAGTCGTAATATATTCTAATTTTAATACTTTTCTGCACATCTAGAAGCCGTTTGGTTTAATTTCAGACCTCACTTGACGAATTTCATCAACGAGATAGTGAGAAACACGAAAATAAATTGAAACCAGCTCCGTCACGTGCCATGTTGTAAATTCCACCTACTCGGATGACGTAAAGATTGGGTATAAAACTGTAAAAAGCATTTGGCTAACCCCTATGATGTGGTTAACTCGTAAGCCTCCTAGCAATATGTAAGCCATAGGTTAGTGCAGCAATGCCCATACGTAGCGCTTTCATACTGTTAACTTTTTTTACACGT